CCCCCCCCCCCCCATTATTAAAACACTAAGTGATAACGTTTCATAGTCTGGGGTCTTGTCAAAAACAAAACTCGATACATTCTATTTGCTAATAATAAACAAAAATTAAATTAAAAGCATGACACTTGACCGTGGAGTGCGCCTAGTTGTGCATTTACGGTTATTTTCCAGCCACATCTATACCGAGCAGGGCCATAGTTGACGGATGGTGAAGGGAGCGTAGGTCCCGAGCGCAGCTTTTCAACGATAATTTCACTGGCGAGAAATAATATTGTACCAAGAAAATACTTTGGAAGGCGCAGTTGTGAAATATTAGTAAAAAAAAAAAAAAAAGACGCATCTACTCTATCAAAGAGCCACATGTTGCCCACCACTAGTGCATGTTGCCCACCACTAGTGCATGTTTCCCACCACTAGTGCATGTTGCCCACCACTAGTGCATGTTTCCCACTACTAGTGCATGTTGCCCACCACTAGTGCATGTTTCCCACCACTAGTGCATGTTGCCCACCACTAGTGCATGTTGCCCACCACTAGTGCATGTTGCCCACCACTAGTGCATGTTGCCCACCACTAGTGCATGTTGCCCACCACTAGTGCATGTTTCCCACCACTAGTGCATGTTTCCCACCACTAGTGCATGCTGCCAACCACTAGTGCATGCTGCCCACCACTAGTGCATGCTGCCCACCACTAGTGCATGTTTCCCACCACTAGTGCATGTCGCCCACCACTAGTGCATGTTGCCCACCACTAGTGCATGCTTCCCACCACTAGTCCATGCTGCCCACCACTAGTGCATCCTCCCCAACACTAGTGCATCCCCCCCACCACTCGTTTCCCCCCACTAGTGCATGTGGCCCACCACCAGTGCATGTTGCCCACCACTAGTGCATGTTTCCCACAACTAGTTCATGCTGCCCACCACTAGTGCATGTTGCCCACCACTAGTGCATGTCGCCCACCACTAGTGCATGTTGCCCACCACTAGTGCATGCTTCCCACCACTAGTGCATGCTGCCCACCACTAGTGCATGTTGCCCACCACTAGTGCATGCTGCCCACCACTAGTTCATGCTGCCCACCACTAGTGCATGCTGCCCACCACTAGTGCATGCTGCCCACCACTAGTGCGACCATCAATTTATGCATTTAAAAAAAAGGGGACATACAGCCAGCCCCGTAAAAAAAAAATACTTTAAAAATCCCATTCCCTCCCCGACTTTCTCACCCCAGACACATTGATACCCATATTCGTATGCACAAGCTTTAAATCTACCAGCCAACTTATACTTATACGCGATTTAGATATGACTGAGAAATAAAATGTATTTTTTAAATTTTAAATATTTTTAATCCAGATCAGAAATGTTTTTTATAAATACATTTTGTACCGGGTATTCAATATAAAAATAATATTCCCATCAAAAAAAAAAAAAAGAATTGTTAAAATTTTATTTCCTATAAATTTTGAGAATCATTTAAATAATTTAAAAAGTTTAGGCTAGATAGATTCTTTTGTCCACTATGAATATATAAATTTTCCCCATTTGTTTTCCCAATACTTAAAGAATCTATGAGGTGCTCCATTGTCATCACCAGTACCCCTTAAACTAGACCTGACCCAATTCCTAATAACAAGACCTCACCTAGTTCCCAATAACAAGACGTCACCCAATTCGCAATTACAAGACCTCACACAGTTCCCAATAACAAGACCTCACCCAGTTCCCAATTACAAGACCTCAGACAGTTCCCAATAACAAGACCTCACACAGTTCCCAATAACAAGACCTCACACAGGTCCCAATTACAAGACCTCACCCAGGTCCCGATAAGCACGCATTTGTAAGAACTTATACGCAAACCACCAACTCGCCCTCTCCCTTCCTTGCGTACAAAACGGGGGGGGGGGGGGTGGAGGTGGCGTGTAGTTACACTGTTTTGTCTATGGTTCACAGAATAATCATTGTCAATATGTGTTATGTGGACAAGGATCAAACTTGGCTACAGTATTGATCTTGTAGTAAAGTATCGCCAACTTCACCAACACGGCACACGCCAATCGAACTGATAAAAACTGTTTAGCTGTGTGAGCCAATATGTTGACGGGATGTAGTTAGCCATTAAAACGAAATGAAGTCAGCCATTATTTTTGTTCTTTAATAATACACTGCTTACTTTTTACGAGATTAAAACCTGGACGATTTTATATTAGGTCAAATAACAACCCTACACACACACACACACGCACGCACACACACACACACACACACAAACCATACACACACACAAACACATGCACACACCCATACATAATATATATATATATATATATATATATAACACATATATATATATATATATATATATATATATATATATATATTCAATATATNTAATGTTGTTGGTCGTTCGTATGCCTAAGGTTAAATCACGAGTGCGTGCGCAGGTCGCTTGTGAGTCTACCTTGTGACATATAAGCTCACCCGCGCTTGGGACTCGTGCATGGGGTCCTAATGGAACTTTAGGGTAAAAATGTGGGGGGGGGGAGACTTGCACAGCTTGTAGGCCTCACACAGTCGGCTCTGTGTGTGTGGCTTGAGTTGCAAGACATGGTCACCCCGTACCTTCCTCGGGGGATCCCCTCACACAGTCGGCTCTGTGTGTGTGGCTTGAGTTGCAAGACATGGTCACCCCGTACCTTTCTCGGGGGATCCCCTCACACAGTCGTCTCTGTGTGTGGCTTGAGTTGCAAGACATGGTCACCCCGTACCTTCCTCGGGGGATCCCCTCACACAGTCGTCTCTGTGTGTGTGGCTTGAGTTGCAAGACATGGTCACCCCGTACCTTTCTCGGGGGATCCGCAGGTTCCGCTAGAAAATAACAATAGATAAAAATTGAATAAAATTAAAATAATAATAAAAAAAAAAAAAAAAAAAAAAAAAAAAAAAAAAAAAAAAAAAAAGCAGTATCGAAACAAAGAACTGAGCCGAATGCATGTCAGTGTGATTTCTAGGAACTGAATATTCCAGAAGTTTCTCGAGTACTCCCGAATCCGCTTGAAGCTTCTCGTCATTTTGCCAAAAGGGGCGGCCGGCAAGGTAGATATATCGCCATGGTGTTCCACTTTCTTGACGCTTCCTCACAAAACACGTGGGGCGCCGTGGGGGGGGGGGCATGGGATCATCTATGTTCTCGTACATTATATACTCCAGTGTTTAGAATGTTACTTTAGTGTAAAAATGCTTTTGATACTGGGCACCGTGCGCACCAGAAATTACATTGAATGGAGGCATAAAAGATGAGAAAAACTTCTATTTCAAGTAAGCTTGAAACGAATGACTGGAGCATGTAAGCTGATACACTATGAGAAAATGCATGAATTGAGAGAGAGCCAACCACACAAAGTATGGCCCGGCATGTTGGCCAACTTGAGGGATGATAAGAGATGGCCATAACACACACGAGATTGCGCCAGTTGGCCTACTAATTAAATTTCTTATCGATATGCCTTACATTCATTGTGGGTATCATCACTGCCTTTTTTCACGATAGCAAACTCAGCAATGGAGATGACCCTATACAATAACTACAAACAAAATTCCCGAGTGTATGGTTCATAGGCCTACTTACAGCAATGTGCCCTGATGAAAATACCATCGATGAAAGTCAACTTAACCAACGACACGCAAAGCCTATACGTAACAAAACAAGGAATGCAATTAATCCTATGCTGTGCCGGAGGGAGTCCAATTAAATAGGAAGACAACTTATTCATTGCCGGGGCTGGAGGTGATCGATGCACCTGGCCTACTTTGACTTGGACAGCTGCTCAATAAAAACAATAAGCGCCCCCCCCCCACCATTTATTTAGGATCTAATCATTATGTCATATCTTTCCAGGAGTAAAATACAGTGGTCGTTGCTATGGATTATTCAATGGCCGTAGCTTGAACTGTTATGAAGGCGCCAAGATAATATTGACAGTTGAAATATTCGCTCCCGCGATATTCTTCATGCTGTTGATTCCTTTCGATATCTGGTTTAAAGATAAAGAATATACTTGTGAACAACATTAAGAGCGACATTTTCAGGAACATTTGTCGTCAATATTTGTAGCTAATCGATCGCATCTCAAGTAAATAATTACAAAAATGAGTCCACCACAACAAACGCTAGCGCTAAGAAATCGCCTTTTCCCCGGGATAGCTCGGGAAAGCAATGAAATCCCTTATTACATTTACCACTACCCAAGCTCTCAACGTGTCAAGCTTGCCGCCGTCAAGCACGGCATATTTAACCCCGCGCTGCCTACTTATCGTCAGATAGAACACGATAACTCGCCGTTGATTGCCAAACTCTCGGACGAACATTGTCGAACAAGCACAACACTCACAGCTCGTGATTTTGAGCTTGCCAACGCCGGCGTCTTCCCGGTAAAAAAGTACTTTCACTGTTTAGAGATTACAGACACGGGTCGAAGGTTAAAAGACGCTTTCTTCAGTACAGAAGACAGCGACGATTTACTTCAGAAGGCAGCTACTAAGCGGAAGTACTCAGATTCGGGTGTACGGTTTGATGGCATGGCCCTACAGGTGAAGAAACCTCAGCTGATCAGAGACTGGAGGTACAGCTTCAAGTCGCACCACCGACTCCTGCCTGACCGTACTCAGCAACCCCTGCCGGCAATACTGGAAGCACAGCATAGGCGGCCATTGTAAATACAAAAACATCACCAAAAAATACCATTTGCTGGGGTTTGTTTAGGCACCAACCCAACTTTTAAAAAAATCCGGTAATTTTTCAGGGAACGTTGTTCCCCCAGAGAGAATTAACATCCTTAAAGTTCAAGGACTTAAGTATTTTTTTTAAATATCTTGGTTCACCGCCCTAGCGCATCCCAACATAAAATGGGTTAATATAGCATTTCATTTTCGTATCCGGAGATTTGATAAAAAAAAAATTTCGTCGACGGTAATTTAGACTAATCGAACGGGAATTTGGTCAAATCTTTTTTCAGTTTCTCCGTTAAAATTTTGCTTCAATTTTCTTTTTGAGCGCATTATTTTGTTTTACTATATAGTACGGTGCGTTCAAAAAGAAATTTGACAAAAATTTTAACATGTGAACTGCAAAAAAATATTCGACCAAATTTCCCGTCAATCAAATTACCATCGATCAGTTTTTGTCGCCGAAATTACTTTTGATCAAATTTCCGGCAACCAAATATAGCATTTCATTTTCTGAAATTGATCAAGTATTTAAACCTTTTTTAAAAGGAATTTTCTAGGTCAAATAAAAGTACAAACAAATTAGACCTACTTGTCTAGCTTTTTATATAATAGGGTAAACATTGATTCCAACATTCTTCTTGACTTAAATTACATCTTGACTTTGATTACATCCAACATTCTTGTTGACTTTGATTGCATCTTGACTTTGATTACATCCAACATTCTTTTTGACTTTGATTGCATCTAATATTCTTGTTGACTTTGATTACATCAAACATTCTTGTTGATTTTGAATACATCAAACATTCCTATTGATTGAGTTTGATTACCTCTAGAATTCTTGTTGACTTTAACTTTAATTACAACTTGATTTTGATTACATCTTGCCCTTAATTACATCTTGACTTTGATTAGATCAAGCATTCTTTTTGACTTTAATTACATCTTGATTTTGATTACATCTTGAATCTTGCTTTTAATTACATCTTGACTTTGATTACCTCTAACATTCTCCATGACATTAAGTATTGTGCGTTATTTTAACACATTTAATTATGAAAAGTAGTTTTTACAAAATCGGTTGTATTTTCCAAGTCAATATTCCAAAGTTTCCCAGCTAATGGGGTGGAACATAACAGCAAAAGATCATTGACATGACATGTATCTCAGCAAACAAAAGTTAATTTCAATTCCATCATCAAATAGTTCATAGATGGATGAGCTACAAATCATAATGGGGACACATACAAATAAAAGCACTTAAAACAATTCATTTTATTTCTGTGTTCAGGGAAGTCAAATAAAAAAGGTTAAATATCCAAGCTCTAATATGAATTAAGTGTTTTCCCAAAATCTCAGCTTTACCTAATGGTGGTTTCAATACAAGATCTGAAGCATCGATTGAAACTTAGAAAATAAGTTAAGTGGTGGAGTAGCCTAAGGGTAAATAGCTCTGGTAAAGGTGAATAACTCTGAACTCTTAAAAAAAAATATTAATTAATATGAGACATCTTCTATGTGATGTTATATCCCTTTAGATAAACATCATTGTAGAAATAATAGTAACACGAGATGACTTACAAACAAATCGTTTAATTTACATAATTTCAAAATATGACAGGATTATTTTATGCTAGAACAAAGTTAACAATTTATTTGACAAGTATTCAAGCAATCTTTTTGTAACATTTATGTAACATGTGTCTTTCTATGTTTTAATATCTCTATGGTAGTGAGCAAAAGTTTCTCATTGCATTCAGAGCAGAAATAAGGTTTTCTCAATGGATTCAAGTTGAGTTCTTTCTCTTTTTCATTCTCCTCAGCTTCCTGTCTCAGAAGCCCTGGAACAAATATTATAAGACTCTTGTTAATAAGATCAGCAAGAAGTAATGGTCGAAATTGAATTTTAAAAAAAAAAAAATTGAAAAAAAAATAATAATAATAATAAAATTCAATAAGCACTTTTTTTAGAATAAAAAATGTTATTATGATGTTAAATTTTTGCTAAATTGAATTCCAGTTTTGCAACTGGTGAAGAAAATTAATAAGATACAGAAAGGAGATCTTATTTTTGCAGAGGAAAATAAACTTTCTCTCAAAATTTCCTTAAGAAATAAACATCATAGTCATCAAAGTCTTGTTGAAATGAGGCTTGTCGCCCCCTTGATGACAGCAGTTTTAGACAGAAACACAAACAGCTGCTCAAAATAAATGATCTAGAAAAAGACCTTTAAAACAGTTAATTTCCAACCAGATTTAACCTAGCTTTCCCCATTCTAAACCATAGCACCTTTTGAGCCATAGATTTAACCTCCCTTGTCCACCTTCTAAACTCCAGATTTAACCTATATTGTCTACATTCTGGACTACATATTTAAACTAACTTGTCGACCTTCTGAGCTACAGATTTAACCTACTTTGTTCACCTTCTGAGCTACAGATTTAACTTACCTTTTCCACCTTCTAAACTACAGATTCAACTTACCTTTTCCATCTTCTAAACTACAGATTTAACTTACCTTTTCCATCTTCTAAACTACAGATTTAACCTACCTTTTCCACCTTCTAAACTAAGGATTTAACCTACCTTTTCCACCTTCTAAACTACAGATTTAACCTACCTTTTCCACCTTCTAAACTACAGATTTAACCTACCTTTTCCACTTCTAGACTACAGATTTAATCTACCTTGTCTACATTCTGAACAACAGATTTAACCTACCTCGTCTACATTCTGAACAACAGATTTAACCTACCTTGTCCACCTTCTGAGCTACAGATTGTCTCATGCTGAAGTCTCTCAAGAACATTGACAAGCATTGACTGACCACACAGTGGACACTTCCAGTGTCTTTGCATAGCTTGGGTAAACTCTCCCCACACATTGGCTGAGGTCTCATCAAGAAGGCTGGACATAGCATTGATTGCAAAAGTTAATTAGTATCAAATCATATATTTGTATTAAATTTATGATTATTTCAATATACGTATCACTTGTGCATAAATTATTTTTTATTCCCAAAATTCCTTAATAAGCAGCCAAAAATTCTAAAAATAACTATAATTTAAATTTATTGATAAATTTCTCAACTAGATAGGAAACGGTACAACAGATTGCAAAAGGTCAAGTGAATATTTTCTCTCTGCTCTTGTTCAAAAGATCATATCCAGGTTCAAAATTATTGCACCTAGTAGCAGAGTGGACTTTATTGAGCCACTTATCAAAGTGTTTAAGAAAATATTCCACCTGAGACCAGAGCCGTTCTTAGGAGTTTGAGGGCCCTAAGCATGGAGCGTAGGTTGGGGGCCCCGGAAGGGGGGGATCCGGGGGTGGAGCTCCCTCGAGCTGAGGAGAAAACACCACCCACCACTGCGGCACATCCATTCTGCAGATTTCCTGTCTCCCACCCCCAAAGCTCCCTCCTGCTGCGTCCTTTCCCCTGCCTCCGAATTCAACTCAGAATGATAAATTTCAGGATGAGGAAGGGTAACGTGAGTGACACAGACGACTGCAGTGCCAGTTTAAAAAAAAAAACGGGGATCGAGGGGGCGCCTCACGGGGCCCCCCTCACGTTCGGGGCCCTACGCAGATGCGTAGTCAGTGTATGCCTAAGAACGGGCCTGCTGAGACTGTTTCTTAATTGTTATACTGTGTTTAATTGTTGGAATGCATTTAAGTGCTTCAATGTATTCTACACGGTTTGATTTCAAACATAATATGAATGACATATTGTAAAAATGTATATGAATGACATATTGTACAAATGTATATGAATTGACATATTGTACAAATGTATATGAATGAATATTGTATAAATGTACCAGTTAAATGTAAAGTAATCTGTAACTTGAACTCCTCCTTTCACAGGATGTTCTTGTCCAGCACCGCCCCCTCTCACAAGCTTGTCCAGAACAGTTGAACTAGTCAAACCTGAAATGTTTTAATATGGCATCAGCATTAAAAGAACCATACAGTAAAAATCACCAGTGTATGATATAATAAATGACCTCAGTGTATCTTAAAATGGCAGGTCAAAGGGCACGTGGCTAGTGGATCTGAAGGATGATGATTTGAAAATGATTAGTGTATTACAATGACCAGCAGGTCTTAATATGACCAATGTATCCTAAAAGGTTGGGCTATAACAAACCTATACAAATTCAAAAACAAAAGCAACTTGTTTACATTTGAGCGAGTGGGTTGATATGTGAGTGGGTTGATATGTGAGTGGGTTGATATATGAGTGGGTTGATATTTTAGTGGGTTGATATTTTAGTGGGTTGATATATGAGTGGGTTGATATTTGAGTGGGTTGATATTTTAGTGGGTTGATATATGAGTGGGTTAATATTTCGGTCGGTTGATATTTGAGTGGATTGATATTTAAGTAATGTATGAAAAAAGTATATTTACGATCATGCCAGAGATCAAAATATGTTTGATGTTAGGTTAAAATGTTTAACCTATGACACTGGTTGCTCTGGCAAAATACATGACATTTATCAGATATTCAATGGCTATCCTTCCATTAAAAAAGTCTCCATGAAAAAATCAGTGCCTTGCTAAAAAAACTACAGGCAAACATTATGAAGAATAATTTTCCTTTCTTTGTGCACCTACCCTTTCCTGGACCAACGTAAGCCCTCTGCATTTCAGCAGGTAAAATTCTGCGCACAGCGTACATGATGTCAGAGTTGAGGTACTCTGTTAATTTGCTGGCCAACATTCTCTCCAGTTGTCTTGCCCTGGGGCTGACACGTCTCTCTTCATCTATACCTTCAAAAGTATCTACAGCAATAAGAAAAACCATGACATTAGGCGATGTTTCCTTTCATTGAAACAGCAAACTTAAGGAAAATAAATAAAGGTGACTATAAATATACAACAAATCTCAAACAAATAATTTTAACCCACTTCAGCTTGTGCCTAACATAGAATGTCATACCCCTGAGTCTAAATCTGATGCCTCACCTTTCAGCCTAACTTGAAGTAGACTGTGCCATGTGGATCTGAGCTGGATAATACTGGATACAACCATCTCAGCTATCTCAGCCGTAGAAAATTTGAGCTCAAGCCAACCATCACAGATAAGCCTGGACAATACAAAAAAATATATGTATAAAAAAGGCATATAAAATAAAAAAAATTAACAATCAGTAGTAAGTTACTTGTTGTAAAGACTGAATACATAATATTGGTGTATTACAAAAAATTAAACAATAAAATATCCTCCATCACATGGAACAGAGCTGAATTAGGCCACTTGATTTACAAAATGTAAAAGTCTAGTGGTTCAGAAAACTATTTTGTGGTAGCAGAGGCTAAATTATTGAAAAATATGAACCTGGTACAGTCTGCATTGGTGTCTATGCTATTAGAGAATAGTGTGACAGTTTGGAGGGCTGGTACTCTCATGGTGTTGACAAGGTAAGGCTTGTTGTTGGTCTCCAGCAATGATCTGAGGGCACAGACACAAGTTGCTTCTCATTCACTAAATATATAGTTTGTTTAGAATGCAAATTCAGAATGAAATGTGCAAGGATTATTATCTCTAAAGCTAAATGAATTCTTTAAATGAATTCTTTAAATGAATTCTTTAAATGAATTCTTTAAATGAATTATAATAAATTAACAGGACAGGTGGTTTCAATTTTGAAAAAAACAAACATATTTATTCTATATATTTTGTAAATTTTATACCTATATTAATTTTTGTGTGTGTGTCTTACACTGATCAAGGCATTTTCCCAAATGTTTGCATTTGTATTCTGCGTGACCATTATTAAAGCTTAACCTACATTGTTTTATTTACACAAATTGTGTGTCATTAATCTAAATATGTTAAAACATGGTTGATAAATGATAAGTAATTTTTTTTTTCATCTTTCTCATTCTTTGTCCTTTCAAACAGTCAGAAATAAAACCAAATTTAAACAAAACCATTTTTAAAAAAAAAGCATGAGATGACTTACATATAGGAGAGCAAAAGGATGAAATTACTTACATATAAAAGAGATAAAGCATGAGATGACTTACATATAAGAGAGATAAAGCATGAGATGACTTACATATAAGAGAGATAAAGCATGAGATGACTTACATATAGGAGAGCAAAAGGATGAAATTACTTACATATAAGAGAGATAAAGCATGAGATGACTTACATATAAGAGAGATAAAGCATGAGATGACTTACATATAAGAGAGATAAAGCATGAGATGACTTGCACATAAGAGAGATAAAGCATGAGATGACTTACATATAAGAGAGATAAAGCATGAGATGACTTACACATAAGAGGGATAAAGCATGAGATGACTTACACATAGGAGAGCAGTTCGTGTTTGGAGCTTTGCAGCCCCTTGAGTTCACTGGGTGCTGGCCTCCTGCCACTGGAATCTTTGGGTGTAAGGAGATCTGGGTGGCTGGCAAATATACTAGTTGGGTGGAGCAGGATGAACGGCTTATTCTAGGAGTATAACAATACAAACATTAGCAACCGTAAGTTTTGACCAACATAATTTGTCTTATAGCTATGCAAGAAGTCAAAGCATAAATTATTTTAAAAAATAAAAGTGAATGAGTTATAAATGAGATAAATTCTAATGTTAGCTTTACATCATATTTATAATAAGCATTTTCTTTCAAATGTGATGAATTTGATCAACATGTTTGAGAAACAAAATTTGAACCAGGAAGGTACAAGAAAATTGGGTGGGCCAGGGACACAGTGAGAAGGATGCTAAATAGATAGTCCAGGGCAATGAAAATGGCACCAGATGGCAGAGACAGACATAGCAAAATGGGGAGAAATCCATAATGGCCTATGCCACACCAGATGCTACAGGATGAGGAAGTGATGATGAGATGATGTGAGATGATGATGTGAGATGTTGATGATGAGATGATGATGAGATGCAGATGAGATGCAAATTGTGCCCCTACCTTCGTATGAAAAGCTTGTTCTGTATCCCGTTTGTATGTGTTACAGTCATCAGGAATGGCCACTTGAGGGTACAGTCCACTGCAAAGTATGATCTTCATGAGGTTTATGTCCCGTAAAGTGAAGTGTCTGCTTCTGTTTGAAGTTTCCTGTACACAAGAGCCAAGAATGAAATTTTAATAATTTTCCTGTACACAAGAGCCAAGAATGATATTTTAATAAGTTTCTTTAACCAATGAAAATGGTAACTGGCAGATGTCCTAATAAATGACCATGTAATGTACCAGAGATCTCATTTGTAAACATGTTAACATTGGCTTGCTTACCTGAATTAAGATTAAAGATATAAAACACCTTTAACAAAATTCTTTTTTTTTTTTTTTTTTTTGCATTGCCGGAAAAAACACTGAAAATATTTTTTTTTTTCTCATTCCTAATTTTCTAAATGCCTAAATTGAGATTTTTGGGGAACAATAAAAAAAAAAATTTTTTTTTTTTTTTTTTTTTTTGGCATTGCCGGAACAAACACTGAAAATATTTTTGTTGTTCTCATTCCTAATTTTCTAAATGCCTAAATTGAGAATTTGGGGGAACAATAAAAAAAAAAAATATTTGCTCGATTGAAATTAAAATTGTTTTAATCTTATAATTACAAGAGAGATTGATTTATAGAACGGCAGTTTTTAAATTCATTTAAATGTCTATTCAGAGTAGAGACAGACCGAATTTCGGCTTCGGTTTCGGCACCGAAAGTGGCCATTTTATCACTTTCGGTCAAGTTTCGGTTTCGGCTGAAAGTCATTTTAAAGTTTCTGCCTATTTTCGGCTTCGGCCGAAATCAGAAAATCACTTTCGATCGGTCTCTAATTAAGAGTTTAAAACACCCCCTCCCCACCTCTCTTTTTCCCCTCAAACCCACACACTGTAACATATCTCGCCCGTGTGTAATTTGGTACAGCATGTAAGTTTGATAAAATAACATTTCTGACTGAAGCTTCAACCAGCATCACTGAAGATTGTCCCAAGAACAAAATCTAACCTGAAGCTGGTTCAAGTCATTGGACAAACGAAACTCCAAGTCTTTGATGTCATTCCCTTTGGTTGTGTCCCCTTCTTCATCACTGATTTTAAACTCCTGAAATAAATGACAGGCAGCATTTGATAAGTTTCATTCAAGGAAATACAAGCTTTTGAAATGTATATGAAATATAGTGAGTTTTTGGGATGATCAGTGGATGAACTTGTAATAGAGGGGAAATAAAATTTACAGGAATACTGAGATAAATGAGAACCATAATATTGTGGTTCTTTATTATTGGCTACTCTAAGACATTCCAATTTAAAATATCCCTTACTTCATCTTCCAGTGTGAGAACCTTCCTCCTCTTGTTCTCACGCATCTTTTCTTTCCTCAGATCACCAAGTCTTTTCCTCTCACCGTGCTTGGCTCTCCTTTCCTCACTGGTCATATACTGCTGCTTGTCCTCCCCACCATCTAGGAGGTGATGGTCCTGTGCAGAAATATTTTTTACTTAAATAATCTGTGTAAAAAAAAATTCTAGTTAAAATTAAAGAGCAGTACCTGTAATGAATTATCCTGTTAGAAATGTAATCATTTTGAATTTCAACCATGGCATGTTTTATATTTGTTGAAATACAATGTATCAGTAAATATTCATCATTTCTTTAAGTTTTAATGTTGATGTGTAAATAGTGTAGTTGAGCAGCCCTGAAACTTTTAAATTGCTTCTATTATGAGGAGTCCAATTGCAAACCCTACTAAGTCACTTGAGAATGATTTTGAGAAAAAAGCATTTTTCTAAAACACAATGATTTCGCTAATCCTAGGATTCTGTTTTTTTTCCAGTTACAAGATTAGCTGTAAAGTATATATTTTTTATTTAAAAAAAATAGTTAAATGGTCATTTTTGCATTTATAATGCAAGATAAAGTTATCACTTAGCAGGTTTTGAAAATGGTTGACATACTTAGCAGCTTTTGAAAGAGGTTAGAATATACTTAGCAGCTTTTGAAAGAGGTTAGAATATACTTAGCAGCTTTTGAAAGAGGTTAGAATATACTTAGCAGCTTTTGAAAGAGGTTAGAATATACTTAGCAGCTTTTGAAAGAGGTTAGAATATACTTAGCAGCTTTTGAAAGAGGTTAAAATACTTAGAGGATTGGAAAGTGGTTTAAATCACTTGGGATATTTGACAGCCCACAACAAAATTAATAGACATAGAGAGGGGTGCTGTACTGCATGATTTTGAAGAACCGTAGTCGTATATTATGGTACCTTAACACAAAGTAACAGACCACAACACATAAAATGACAATATCACAACAAAAGTAACAGACAACAACACATACAATTACTATAGCCCACCAAAAAGTAACAGACCACAACACATAAAATTACTATAATATTATCACAAAAAACTACTTCAATTTATTATTACTGCCCGGGCAACAAACCACGGGTTGAAATTTTATTTGGTCATATTAGAGTAACATAAATGCATTGAAGGTAGGGACGCCTTCCTGCCTATGGTAAAAATATTTATACATTAACAGTAGGTAGATCCTCACAGAGACTGTCACACTCTTCTTCTTCTGAATCAATACATGAAGGTCCAGGTTGATCAGAATCTGCAATTACTGATTTAAAAAAATTGAATTGTGGGTCTGTATCTTGAATTGTGGGTCTGTATCTTGAATTGTGGGTCTGTATCTTGAATTGTGGGTCTGTATCTTGAATTGTGGGTCTGTATCTTGAATTGTGGGTCTGTATCTTGAATTGTGGGTCTGTATCTTGAATAGTGGGTCTGTATCTTGAATTGTGGGTCTGTATCTTGAATAGTGGGTCTGTATCTTGAATTGTGGGTCTGTATCTTGAATAGTGGGTCTGTATCTTGAATTGTGGGTCTGTATCTTGAATTGTGGGTCTGTATCTTGAATTGTGGGTCTGTATCTTGAATAGTGGGTCTGTATCTTGAATAGTGGGTCTGTATCTTGAATTGTGGGTCTGTATCTTGAATAGTGGGTCTGTATCTTGAATTGTGGGTCTGTATCTTGAATAGTGGGTCTGTATCTTGAATAGTGGGTCTGTATCTTGAATAGTGGGTCTGTATCTTGAATTGTGGGTCTGTATCTTGAATTGTGGGTCTGTATCTTGAATAGTGGGTCTGTATCTTGAATAGTGGGTCTGTATCTTGAATAGTGGGTCTGTATCTTGAATAGTGGGTCTGTATCTTGAATTGTGGGTCTGTATCTTGAATTGTGGGTCTGTATCTTGAATTGTGGGTCTGTATCTTGAATTGTGGGTCTGTATCTTGAATTGTGGGTCTGTATCTTGAATAGTGGGTCTGTATCTTGAATTGTGGGTCTGTATCTTGAATAGTGGGTCTGTATCTTGAATAGTGGGTCTGTATCTTGAATAGTGGGTCTGTATCCCAGCCATCCCCAACATGCTCCATCATTAGCTTTTTTATGTCAGACTTTTTAGCATCATTTATTTTGACGTCAGGGACAATGAAGCTGGCATTCTTTAAAAACGATTGTCCCTTTTTTTGTAAATACAACAGGGCAATTTAAAAAATTTCTGTAATTTGGTTCAGCCTGAACTGTAACATGTCTCCCCCGTGTGTAATTTGGTTCAGCCTGAACTGTAACATGTCTCCCCCATGTGTAATTTGGTTCAGCCTGAACTGTAACATGTCTCGCCCGTGTGTAATTGGGTTCAGCCTGAACTGTAACATATCTCCCCTGTGTGTAATTTGGTTCAGCCTGAACTGTAACATATCTCCCCCGTGTGTAATTTGGTTCAGCCTGAACTGTAACATGTCTCCCCCATGTGTAATTTGGTTCAGCCTGAACTGTAACATATCTCGCCCGTGTGTAATTTGGTACAGCCTGAACTGTAACATATCTCCCCCGTGTTATAATAAATCTTTTATTTTCTTGTATGGGAAGAGGCTTCTTTAAACATGTGTCAGAAACTGCCTTAAAGTCTAACACATTCCAGTCCTCATCTGCAACACGCACACTTCCTTGTTCTTTATAAATTTCAAGGTATTCCTCAGGGGAATAAATTCTTTCTTTCTTTCTTAGCTTTTTTTTCTAAAACACCAAATACTCTGTCACAGGGTAGGAAAGAATGTCCCCTGACAGGAAACAACAGCTCAACTGTTTGAACTTGAGATGGAGCTTGCTTCATCAGCCAGTGTCCTACCATGTATATAATGGCACTATTTTTATTTTGTCCTCCACAGGCGTCTGACACAAGACGGAGAGAATCAATTCCATTCATGTTGGCGTTTTGGAGGGCATGAAATACAGCACTCGCACATGATGAACTGTTTTTTGCAAACTAATTCTCTCTCCATGTGTAAATAAAAACATTGTCTGGCTTTAGTGTGCCAGACATATTTGTTTCTACAATTGTAAAATTGTATATGTACAACTGTCTGCTGTAATAGGCAATTTGATCCGGTACTTTAGGAAGCACCTGATTTTGCTGGTGATCAAAACATAAAACTTTTAAACCTCTTTTCTCATTGAGCAAGTCATAAAAAGCATTTGCCCTCATTTTATGAATTCTCAAATCAGTTATAAGCATCTGCTTTTTGTCCGGAACTGTCTCTGCTTTTATTTTATTCCTCATCCTTTCACAGAAGGAACATGCATCTGTCTTTGGTGAGCCAAATCCAATTCGAAAGTCTCTTTTAAATATTATTCTAAAAAATTCATATTTGACGGGTTTGTCTGCATTGCTGGAGAGATACATTTTCCACAATTGCTTTATGGATGAAATTTCTGATGGAAGATAGATTTTCCTTGACTTTAGTCTTCCATAGTGGCTTTCTCGTCCTTTCAGCCCTTTCAAAAATGTGTGAACTGCTTGTCTCTTTGGCCCATACAGGATACTTTTTTTGTCTCCCTTTGTTTTTTTTTTTAATAAATCACCACAAAGCTGAAGTTTCTTGGCAATATTCTCTATGCCAGAGCGTCCGATACCTAACAATTTAAGGAAAAACTCCTTGCAAACACGTATCCTCGTTTTTTCCTGATTCATAACAAAAAAAGTTGTCTCAAACATATCTCTCACTCGTCTTCTTTTTTCATTACCCGTTATCGGTTTTTGCTTGGTCTGTTTTTTTCCAACTATAACATTATCCTGATCAATTTTAGTTGTGTGACTATAAAACATAGCACTGAAATGTGCCATGTCCATGTTTGTTAATTCTGCACACTGAAAGGCAGCCTTTCTTGTGTGTTTACAATCAGCTCGCACAACTGGTTTTTGTGAATGTCTGTGAAAAATAAAAGATACAATTTATTAGATTAATCAGTAACAAAAATATGAATTCTAGGAAAATATTTATTACAGTCCCTACTTTGGGGCAATAAAATTAGTATTAGCATTAAAATTGGATCTAAACCAACTCAACTTTATATTATTATAATGTATTTATTTTTAAACTTTCATAATTTTCTTTTCTATATCCTAGTAATGTAAATAAAACTCAGGTATAGTGTATAATAATATAGTACAGTAAACATAAATATTTTGATGTAGAACAAGTAGCCCAGAATAGACCTGTGAGTATTTTTAATTTTAATTTTTTTTTTAACAGGTTCACTGAGGTTCAGGTTGGGGGGGGGGGATTGTTGCAAAAATTCACATTATTAGTAACTAAACCACTAAATATTTTATTTCATTGAAAAATAGAAGCTGCTATCCGAATAAGCACATTTTAAAAGCAATCTAAAACACAGACTAGTCTCAGGACTCTCGAGTGTCACTGTAATTTATAACTTTAGTCTTATTCTTAGTCCTAAACGCGCGTCAGTCTAAGCGTAGACTGCCCACTGTACATCCTATATAAAAATATCATTTTCAATTACTAGCATTTAATAAATTTAGTAATGAGTTTATTTTTATTGTACTTACCTTTGAATCTGAAGTTCTTTTCTTTTTGTTAGTTTTAATGGGGACTTGTTAGCGTTTTCGCTGATTGTAATGAAGCTCGTGTCGTGTTCAGCCATCTTCAATGATATCGAAAGAATGTCATGTGCCTCTAAGCTGAATTGTGATTGGCTCTTTTTCACAAATTATGTTTAAAACAATTACTGCCATTGGCGGGTAACTTAGAAGAGTTTGAAAATGAAAGCCAATGCAACAGCAGGTTTTGCAAGATTATCATATTTTTAACTAGCGAAATAAGCGAACTTAGAGGGTTTTGATTTAAATAACTAGTAAAATATTGTGAAATAGTACTTCATAGAGGGGCCACGGGCACTAACTCATTTTTAAAAAAAATTGACTTAGCAGGGTTTGCAATTGGACTCCTCATATTATATAATATTGGTTGACCAGCCTGCCTGGTGGAGGTGAGCACATCTTAAGAATAAATTCTTTTTTCACATCAGTCAGTTAGAATAATCTGCTTTTATGATGATTTAGATTTCTTTTACTCTCGTTAAATGTTACCCTGAGAAGATCTTTAAACTGTCGCTTGAGTTTAATCATTTCATAAAACCTCTGCTCTTCCAATCCTCGACGTTTGCACCACTTGCGTGTGCCCTGACCTTGAGCCTTCACCTAGAGACAGAATCAATTATGGGTACTTGCTCAGAAATGAGGGGTTGATTTTCAGCAAATTTTAAGATAGGCCTTGTGTTAAATTTCTAAAAAATAATAACTAGTATTGTGATCCCAATCTTACCTCGTGTTTAATTATTTTTCATTGGAATCATTAGTAAACAAATTAAATGCTTAGAAAAGTTCCATTGTAGTATTTAAAAAAAAATAATTGTGTTTGTTTGTGTTCTCCTTTAATTTTAAACATATTTTGGGCATATTACAGTATGTTATATTGTACTATCATATTTTGCTCATATTGTCCCATTACATTTGGCAACGGCATGTTATCTTCCTGTTCTATTCTAATGTCGGTCTATGCCTTAAAATGAATGACCCTAAAAAGAGCATACCTGAATCCACTCATCAAAAGCATTTAGTAGGGTGAAAGGATCTCCATGATCAGATTCCAAAGGTTTTCTGGCAGTCTAGTGGTAGATTAGAAACATCAAGTTTTATTGTGTGTACACATAATGTGTTTTATGAGACTTAATTAAAAAAATTTGACATTTCCATTTATCGGTGTTCACCTTCTTCTTCTGTCCACTTCTGTTGGAGAGGAAGTAATTCTATTCAGGTCACACACATTTAAAAAAAAAAAAAGCAAGTTGTGTTATCTTGATTGTGATCACCCACTATAAAAATCTATCAAATACAATAAAAACAATTACCTATGTATCATGTAATGAGATTTTGGTACAATCTAAATAAAATTTAATTCATAGATTACATCAAAAGTATAATTCAGGTTCTGACCTCTAAGAAAATGTTTTTTACCAACCAAGTTAATAGAATGCATAAATATCTTGGAATACTGTTGACTTACAAGAGCCTCATGATCAGTGTATGCTCGATTTGTAAACGGTGACTGGACACTCATGGCTGCAGTTATGGACAAAATGGGGTCGATCATCTTTAAATGGAAGAAAGAATGAAACAGGATAATGGGGAAAATATTTTAGGAATAAGAAATTTTCTATTTTTAAAAGCATAAAAATAAACATATCTGTTTTATTAGTAACAAAAGAAGTTCATTAATTTTCTCCTGTGCTGATATAAAATTTATATTTAATTATAATTCAATTATTTTTAACTGAGATTAATTAAGGTTGAAAAGAGTTTATAAATGTTAGGTGCAATAATTTTTTTTCTCTACACATACATTGAAAATTGATCCCATTATGAGCATCTTCCCTATGACAACATCCACAGGAAGCATAGAAAGCATCTGACCAATGGGAGTCAAGCTTTCATCAGATGCCAGTGCACCCTGCTCCTTGAGGAAGAGGATTGAATTCTCAAGGCTAGACATGCTCGGTGGTTCAATGAAAGGAAACCTAAAAAAAAGAAATCCCCAAAAGATCATTCTTAAAATCACATTGATCTTTTGCATAATTTAAAACAACATCCTTAAAAAAACATGAGACTGACCAGCTCTATTTTACTTGGAAATATATTCATACCATTCAGAAGTTTTTAAACCGACATTTGACAAAAAAATATTATCTGAAAAGCAGTTTGTAATTATCTTTCATGGTTTTACAAAGTGTGGCAGCACAAAGCATTAACTTGCAACCCATGGCCCGTTCAAACTTGAAACTTGACAGAATATGCAAAACAAAATTTGTCATGTTTTTTAAATTTTGGTTTTAAAAAGAGTAAAAAGTTTAAGAGCCCGAAAGAAGATTAAAACTACAAGAAATTTACTTTCTAGCATCTGGAAGTCCCATGGATATCATCTGTAGAATGAGAGAGTCTAAAGGAACTCGTTGAAGCTCTGGTGTTGCATACTCCTCAAACGAATTATAATCCGATTCATCATATAGGCGAAAGCATACACCTGGCCCAGTTCGACCTAATTATAGAAAATTATACGTTTAATTACATCAAAAAAAATTATCATCATATTGACAAGTACTTAGATCTGTCTATCCAGACAGTAACTTTTCATGTTATATAATAAGTGTTTATGATTCCCATCTCAGGCGAAATAAATAAACGTTACCCAGATACAGCATGAACTGGTACATTTTCCTTGTGCAATTTCAGCGGACTTGTTTTTTTTCATTCAACATCAACTCACCGGCTCTGCCTTTCCTCTGCTCAGAACTTGCACGGCTGATCCAAAATTCTTGCAACTTTTGCATCTTGAACTTGGGGTCAAAGCTCATTTCTTTCACCTTAAATTGACACGTTTCAAATCATAATCACATTTAATACTAAAAATGAATTCGTCTTGATTCTTAGGTAACAAGAACTTTGGGTTCTAACTAGACGGTTCACTGCTATAACAGTGAACATTATTTTATGTACTCAATACAAGCTGGATTGAAACTGCCTACCTTTCCAGAATCTACAATAAATCGGACACCATCAATGGTGACAGAGGTCTCCGCTATGTTTGTTGACACAATACACTTGCGTACACCAGGAGGTGCATAGTCAAACACTTTATCTTGTTCTTCGATGGAGAGAGCACTGTGTAAGGGAAGGACAATCCATTGTTTCATCTGCAGGGCGTATGCCTTGGCAGCCTCTACAACTGCCATTATTTCAGACATGCCACTGAGAAAAATGAGGAGATCACCTCTTTCTGAAGCAGGGTACTAGTAGATAAGGGAGTTAATAAATATATGCTTTTACAACAAAGTAGTGAGAGGTATTTCAGATTGGTATTACTTTATGGACAACTTATATATTAAACCTAAAGTTAAATGAAAAATGGAATAGTTTGTTTTTCAATGTTATTGCCTTTGATACATATATTAATATGAGTTTACATTCTATTAACTAATAAATTTGAAAAACAAAAACTTTGTTAATCTATATGCAAATATTGATTGATTGATTAAATACTTTTATAGCGCTTGTGTCCATGCTATTTTAAATATGAAACCAAAATGAATAAATCCAGTATAAAATTCTGTTTAATTTCAATAAAATAACTAGCTTACGATTTTCGTGTCCATTACTTTAATAATTTATTTTCTAACGATGAGTAGAAAGAAAATATGGCTAAAAATCTTGCTACGACTTTTTATAATCATAGGTAATTGTCAATTTAACAAAATGATAGTAAATACCTTGTGATCTATTCTTTGCATGATACGCAAATATGGTGTTGGGTCGAGGCGTTTAGTATCACTAGAGTCATCTTTCCTGACAGGGCAGTATTCGAGTTCTATGGGATACAGCCGACCTGGTACCTAAATTAAAATATTTAAATAATTTTATTTGAATAGTCATCAGTTGTGTCAATTTTATAAATCAACATGATTTTCTGATATTTTCTTTTGCCAGGACTTCATTCAAGTGGTTGGACTGAAATATTCTACACTTACAAAGTGATATTTACATTTCTGCCACTGTCTCTAAGTGGTTACCATGAAATATTCTACACTTACAAAGTGATATTTACATTTATACTATTGTAGCATATTATGTCTCTTTAACAAAATCAGTTAAGTTTGCCTTGGTGAAAATTTTCTAAAATATAACAAATGACAGAACAGCTTTAAAAAAATAAAATCATATGATAAGTTGTAAGATCCTAAATAAATTGTTGAACAAAATATGTTCTGCTGAAGAAGGCATCTAACCGAAATATCCGTTTAATTGTCTTGTCTTTTATTTTCAAGCACATATTATCCCTTATATATTATACTTTGAAAGATCCTGCAGTCAAAAGTATCGTCCCAGCATTTCCTTTAATTTCGGCTACAATCTAAAAACAACTAATAAAAATAACCCCCAGCCATCGTAACCCTGTTTTTTTTTTTTTTTGCGCTACCTTCATGACTGGAGCGTCGGGGAAGTAATGAGAAAATAGGTTGATGTTAATTGTGGCAGACATTAGCACCAGCTTCAGGTCACTTCTCTGCTTCAGGATACACTTGAGAACCCCAAGCAGAAAGTCTTAGTATCGTCCCAGCATTTCCTTTAATTTCGGCTACAATCTAAAAACAACTAATAAAAATAACCCCCAGCCATCGTAACCCTGTTTTTTTTTTTTTTTGCGCTACCTTCATGACTGGAGCGTCGTGGAAGTAATGAGAAAATAGGTTGATGTTAATTGTGGCAGACATTAGCACCAGCTTCAGGTCACTTCTCTGCTTCAGGATACACTTGAGAACCCCAAGCAGAAAGTCTGTATAGATGTGACGTTCATGGACCTAGGATATCAAGAAATCTGTAAATGTTGTTGTTCTATGTGGTAAGAAGTCTGTATGGGTACAAATCTTGTGGGCTTATGAGATAGAGAAATTGTGGAAATGCTCATATTTGTCTCCTATTTGTCTTATGTGTTGTGAGAACTCAGATATAAATGTGGTTCCACAGCAGCTCTCAAAGAGAGTTTCAGACAAGCCCCTTACGTAAAACATAACATTCTGTATCATTCAAGCCATCTTTGACATTTTAAAATAATTGAGGAAAACATAAAATTAATACAAATACTCATAGAAATTATTAACCGTTTGCCAAATGAAACACTCACCTCATCAATGACAATTACATTATACATTTCAAGCAAGGGATCTGAACTCATCTGTCGCAGGAGAAGACCTGTAATGTAGATTGTTAAAGTACTCATAGTGTTTTTGTTGAGTGGATACACAGAGTTAGTTGGTATAATTTACAACACACATGAACTGATATTACTGAGCAGTATTCATTAGAATTTAAAACATCATGTCATTAAACCACTAGTAAGTAGTTTCTTAATGACAGTTACATACATGCAGTGTCCCCTCAAAACTTCATTGCATTTGCTTAGTTTAGTTTAAAAAAACATACTTAACTAAACAATGCAGAATAATGAAGATACTCTTCAAAAAAAAATATTGTTCTGTCTCTTTGCTGAAAGAATAGCTTCATTATTCTGCATTGTTCAGTTAAGAATGTCTTTTGAACTAAACTAAAGAAATGTAATGGAGTTTTGAGTGGACACTTAAATTTAAATAATAATCTAAAAAATTATTGTCACATCTTTTTGCTCAAATTCCATTATAATAAATACCAGTACTGTTTTACTAGAAACCATGACAGTGAGAATCTCCCTATTTCAAATATTGTAGCAATGAAAACAAAAAAGTTTCTTTGACTTACCTTCGGTCAGAAATAAGATCTTTGTTGTAGCTGTTTTACTTTTATCAAAACGAACCTGTTGAAAATGACAGCACTCTTCAATGTGAAACATAATTTAGGACGTAATTCATTGTAACGATTCTTTATATTTACTATGGGCGCCAAATGTCAGTCTCGAGCTCTGTACTTCTCATGGCATCATGATTTAACTTATTGTAAGCTCTGTACTTCTAATGGCATCATCATTAAATTAATTTTAAGCTCTGTGCTTCTAAAGGCATCATCATTATATTTATTTTAAGCTCTGTACTTCTAATGGCATCATGATTAAACTTTTGGTAACAGATCATAATTACTCAACGTCAATCTAAATATCTTGCTTAAAACTCATTTTTTCTTTTTTTTTCTTACAAAATATCACATTTGTCTGGTTAACCTTAGACTGGGTCAATGTTTCACACTTGACAGAGGACGAATGCTAAGTGAAAAAGATAGTATGAATCTGCCAAATTACCTGGTAAGCTACTTGGGAGCCATATTCATTAAGAGTTTCATAGCCAACCCGCTTGGATAACGATATACATGCAATCCTTCTGGGCTGAGTGCAAGCTATCTTTTCATAACCAGCCTCCATTAGATACTGAGGAACCTACATTTACAGAGAAAAATGTCAAAGATGTATGCGTATTCTGTTCTGTCATGTGATAACTTCACTGTCTCATAAAGAAATGATCAAGAAAGAATGAATGCATTCAAATAGTCTTAACATTAACTGCATGTTAATTTCCATAATGACTGGTCAAGTGAATAAAATAAAAATGAAACAGATTTTAAAGACTGCATCAAGATTACATAAAATTATTTGTTCAGGCCTTAGATTTCATCTAAAATGTATCTACTTGTTTATGCATGTTAATATTAAGATTTATTATAACTTATTATTACAGACTCATAACTGCTATATAAATTCACAGTTACCAATTTTCCCCCTTTAAAATAATTGCAGTGTACCTGAGTAGACTTTCCACAACCTGTATCTCCAGCGACTACAACAACTTGATGTTCCTTTACCATCTCGAGAATTTTTTTCTTATACTGATGGATTGGCAGATTTCTCTGATCTTTACGAATTTTATACAGTTTCTGGAACTATATATGAGAAGATAGAAAAATCCAATGAATTTAACATGTTCAAAGTCTCGACACCTTAAACAAGAGTAAGGTTTACGACTTTCTTCACATCCAAAAGTTTTGTAAAGTTATTTTGCTAGTATTTACATCACCTTTTGTTTTTGTTGAAAGTCCAAGAAATGAATTATCATGGATCGAAATTGAAGAATTCGACCTCTGGTCAACTCTTTCTCTAGCTGGTAATCTGGAGAGTGGATGTAAAAAATATAAATAAATAAATTATCTCTAATTAACAAAACCTTTATATTAACATAAATAAATGGCATGTTTACAGACAATAACCTGGTAAATTACTGGAGCGAATATCAAGAGTGCTCACTAACCAACAAGTCGATTTTTCTTCAGGAAAACATCAAAGTCTTTGCTGAGAAAGGATATATTGATCCTGTAACTAACATCATAATTCTGGGGGAGACTGAGATGGCCTGTTCTTTTGTCATAATTTTCTTTTGGCTTGGTACCTGGAACACCAAATTTATTTATTTAAATTTAAAGCATAAATTTCAAATAAAACCCAAGTTAAAAGAAGTAATTGACGCAACAAGCTGACAATGTCTAAGCCCATTACCGTTTAATTTTTCTGCCTTTTTCCTCTGAAATTCTTGAAACCTAGCAATAAAAGCCCAGAAGTCATCATGCTCTTGAGATCCTCTGAAATGAAAAATATTTCAAATTCATAATTTCCTCAGATAAAGCATTCTAAGTTAATGGTAATATAAGTTTTACTGAATGAATTTTTGTACAAGCATTGGATCTAAATTTGTTTTACGTGGTCACATTATATTAACATTTGCACTTAAAAACTTTAAATACTTATAAAATATAACAAGCTTCTTCTACTGCAATGACATCCAATAAATTTGCAGTGTCTCCCATAAAGTTGGGTTTTCTACTGAGTTGTCAACAAACCATCCTGGCTATATCAACATTGACCCTACCTATTGCTCTATTGAATCAAACACATGTAAGCTTTGTTGGTTACCTTGATAAATTAGTTTTCTTAGTAATTCAGCAGTTCAGAATTTTTATTAAATTTTAAGTTATTTTATTTCAAATTGCAATATTTTCTTACAAAAATTACCTTTCTGCAATTTTGCCAAAATAATTGTCTCTGAAAAATATTTTCCCCAAAGAATATTTGTATTTGGTGAATTCAAAATTGTAATCAAGTTCCACTGAGGGTTCATGTCTCATTGGTACATCATCAATTTCACTAGAAATTGATTGTGATGTTGCCCTTTCATCTCTGGATGTCACTCTTTCAGGAACATTCTGGTCTGACTCAGATCCACTTGCACTACTAAAACTTTCATCATGCTTGTGTTTCTGTTTGCACACTTTGTCCACATGCTGATGTTTAGATGAGATGTGCTTGCGTTTCAGTTTACTCAGACTTCTGTGTCTGTGTGACTCTGAGTGTAAATGGCTGGCCCCATCTGACAAATGTTTCGAATGTTTGTGTTTGTCCTTACACTCCTTGTCAGCTCCTTTATTCTTCTTACGCTTCTTATGCTTTTTTGTATGACTTCTGTCACTTCTAAAAGAATCTCTTTGGTTATCTTTAGTGCAACTCTCATAGTCAGACGAGGAATCATCTGTTACCATGGTGGAAAAAATTTGATAGTACGTTTTTCTTCATGAAAATTTTTGAGCCAATTCGAATGGTATAATCTGAAATTACATGATAACAATATCAGCTTAGTCATGATTAGTATAATAATTTCATCATTTAATCTGTTTTCTCTACCTTTCAACCCTCTTAGAAAAAAGTCTAATAGTTGTAAGTGATTTAAGTATATGCATGACAAAATTGAATGTTAAATTTAAAAAACAAAGGCTTAGATAGAAAACTGAAGTTAAGATATTAACCCTCTTGAGACGGCTGGACCAATCTATTGGCCTAGAGTGTTATTGTGAAAAAGACGACAGGCCGATCTACCAGCTCAATATTAAAAGCTTCCAGATTGGCTAGCTGGTCTTCATACAAGCTAATCAGATTGCCTCTCGCATTTCTTGCTCATCTCACCATTTTAATAGCTGCTGCCATTGATATTTTACGGTGTTCTGTCATTTTATATCATTATTTTGTTTACCTAGTGACCCTGTAAATGCTTTAAAAAAATTAATATGTGACCTTGAAATATGCTAAAAGCATAATGAGCCCCAGAATAATATTTTATGCAGTTTTTAACATTGAATCTCATTCAAATATGGATTTGGACTTATTTAGGCAATACTCTGAATGCTGGTCCCAAATGTCAAAAAGTATAATTTTCAGGCAGCCATGATAATTGATGATGTGATTGTATATGTCTGCGATTCTAAATGAATGTAGTTGTCTAACAGACTACTTGCTTGTAATAATATAAAACTAACAGTACCATAGCCCGCAGACCGCAAGCACTGGTTCATTCTGCAAATGTTTTGCCAGGAAACGTTCTTCAAACTTACTGAAGGCACTGTATGACAGTATGCTTTGGTTAGAGTGGCTTGCTGAACACTGTCTCATAACTGTCAACGTCCAATATCTTTAGTCCAAAGTGCCAAGCCGGGTAATCTGATGCTTAACGATGTAAATGCCCGTCCGTGCAATACAACATGTAGATTACACACAGAGTCATTTTTTGAAAACTGTGGGCTTAGCACACAGAAAATCATCATAGTGATATTCTATTAGGTTTACGTAGTAAAATGGAAGCATGTTATGCTTTTCAAAAGCATTTAAAGTTAGGAAACCATTGCAAACTACAACAACTTTTACTGCATTGAGTGTCAAAATTAGTTTATAAGTTCAACAAGGTGGAACATGTCATGGCGGTTTCAAAGCTACTTGTGTGTTTTATGGTAGTGTTTTAGCAACACATTTTCAGACAGTACCGGTACTTGAACTTGGTAAGACATTACTGAACTGCCAAAGTAACTGCTTGAAGTGTTTTGAATTTGGGACCAGCGTTTGGAGGAGCGTCCTTATTTAGGTTTCAACAGTCATAAAATTTAACAAAATTCTACAAGTAAGACAATTTTATTCTAAGTGTAAAAAATTGAAGGTAAAAATTATGCAAATCAGGATATCTCATTAGGGGTCATCCATAAATAAACTCATGCAAATTTGGCTAATTTTTGACTACCCCTCCCCCCATTGTCACAAATAGTCACAAAAAGTTAGACTCCCCCCTCCTCAAATATAACGTCACAAATTTCTGCACACACCCCCCCATCTATAAAAATTCCCTGTTCACTTCTGTCCTTTACAAACCCATAAGAAATTCACCTTCCATGGATTTCAAATTACTGCACGTGTGTCCGAAATATTTCACTAGGTCAGTGGTTCTTAACCAGGGGTAAAAGTACCTCCCCAGCCCTGAGTTGCGGAAGACCAGAAAATTGTATTTGCTGCCATGGCTAGTTGTTTTTAAAAACTGGTGAATTTTGTTTGCGCATGACTTGTATTGGTAATATTTTTCCTTGTTTATAAAAAGTTAATTAAAGATTTAAAGAAATAAAACTACAATAACTAAATTTTTGAATTATTTTCATTTTTAAAATTTTATTACAATATAATTTATACGTTTTTTTTTGGGTTGGGGAGTTAATGTTTATATTGGAATGGGTCTGTAGCGCTGCAAAAAGTTTAAGAATCCCTGACCTAAGCATTTACCTAGATGCATGACATCATTTATTGAAGGGATGGCCCCTTAACATAAATGCTGACATTTAAGTTTGATTCACAAAGAATAGTTTATTCTATTCCTTACAAGAAAATATATAGTATAGTTTTAAATTTGGTAAGTATCGGTAATTAATTCATTTTTAATATATTTTTTTGGTAATTAAGTGCAGAGTTTGTGAAAAGAGCTTCATCTTTTTGGCACAGACAGTCTAAAAAGGGCTCTGTCTCAAGAGGGTTAAGTTTTGGCTTGAACTTGAATAAAATAAATATGATACTTCGTCATAATATTGCTATATACCAGTGGTTGGCAAACTCATTAGTCAAAAGAGCCAAAAAAAAGCAGCATGATAATTAAAAAAAATTTTGAGAGACAAATTTATTTTCAAGAACCTGTCAAGAACCATGTTTTTCGGACTCAAAACTGATTTGTGGCCGACTGGCTGAGTCGTTCTCAGGTTGCTAAAGAGCTGCATGCTATAGACTAGGTATAGAATAATAATAATTTAAAAAAACATACTTAACTATTACACTTATAACACAATACAAATTAAAGGGACCAAGTCTAATTCTCTAGTAGTGTAAGTGTAAGTGTAAGTCTAAGAAGACTAAGACTAAGACCTACTACTTACTTAGTAAGAGTAAGGGAGTAAGGCAGTAGACTAGTCTTGAGTAGTGTAACTTTACTTTATTCTTTATTGTAAGACTGTAAGATTTACAATTTAACTTAAGAAAAGAGAGCTAACACTTTATTTCTAAATTATACTGAAAATTAATCCTGAAATGGCCTTCACCACACTGACAACAGATAGCCAGCAGGCTACATCAGACAGAGGCTACAATCAGTCTTTTAAATCTAAACTAAGTTAAATGGTGCAAGACAAGTGTTACCCAATTGTAGAGTGAAGGCTTAAATACTTAAACTTAAATAGAATCAATAGTTTTAATGTTTTATTAAACTTGAATCTTGATAATTGAAATTAAAAATTAAAGGATTTATAAGATAAAAAGTGCTAGTTTGCAATTAAATTAATATTTTCAGTACATTTTAACTCACCCAATTTTCCAGTGTGAAATGTTAATTAAAAGTGACCCAACTAATTTTTAGGACTTAAAATATATAAGAGCATTTTTTTGTTTACATTTTATTTTCTCAATGACTGAAATTGTTTGTGTTTTAGTTCCATGGTCACTCTATTTACCGAGGTATCATCGATTGTTCTAAACACGGTGTTTCATACGCTAAAACTGCCCTGCACCAAGCATAATGGGTTTTTATTTACGAAGTGGATGCGTACACCGCGGCGGTGTACCTAGCGAAACCATCGGCTTTGGCCTGCGTAAACCGCGGCGGTGTACCTAGTGAAATCGTGGGCTTTGGCCTGGGTACACCGCTGCAAAAAATGTACCATTGGCCTGGTTTTGAGATATACTTGTTGGAGAAGATCTTGTGTGGTCAAGTGGTAGAGTGGACGCTTGGCGTAATATAGTTTGAGATCAATTCTCAGTAGGGGATCGAGTTTTTTTCCTCCCATTTTAGTTTTAAAATATTTTGTAGCAATTGAAACAATTTAAATATATGTTTAAATATTATATTAAATACACTTTATATATTTATTTATATATATAAGTGTTTCAACAAGTTGTGCCGGCCTTTGACTTTGAAAATACCGGTAACTTTAGTAATAAGACTTTAGACATTTGAAAACAAACTTAAAGTTTCTGAAAGCGCATGTAATACATGATGATCATGTATAACAGAAACATTATGAATACTAAGTGACTGATATTCTATTGTATTTCAACATTCTTCGTATAGTTGAATATTTACATTTTACTTTTACGAACAACCAAAGAAAATACCAGTATGAATAATATTCATGCATATGAATATTAATGTGCATGGTCGTATTTCAACCTTGAACCATCTTGCTTTCACTATGCCTTATGCATTTGCAAAATGTACATACGATATCAAAGGGTCATTCACAACACTCAGTCTCACAGCAAATCTTTTGAAAACACCTCGATTTTAGAAACTTGCGGAGCGGTAGCAAACTGTATAGCAAAGCCACAGGTCTGCGTTTACCCTTTTCATGACGTAATTTGTTTCCAGAATGGCATTGCATGTGCTATTCTCAGGGTAAAACACGACGTTTTCTCACAGAAACCATTGCACAATGCGCCTGGGACAGAATTTGCATTATGTCAAAGTTTTTGTATTTGTTGTTGTTTTTTTTTTTAAAGAAATCGCTAGGTACACCGCCGCGGTGTACGTAGTGCCGGCCTTTTATTTATTTGTTTACAAATTTACATGGATTGCGTATCTTTTACTTTTATCAAAATACTTCTTAATTTTTGTGTATTCGATTTGCATACTTGGGGAATAAATACAAATACAAAATAAAAGAGATTATTAATAAAGATTTAGGCCACGATTTTTACAAACGTGACTTTCATGGTCTCGTGTTTTATTTTAATTAAATTAGAGAAAATGGGTGAATCAAACAACCCCCCCCCTCCCCCCATAATAAAACCCTAACAAGTGCGCCATCCATATGTCTTCAGCAGAGAATTAAAAAAAGATTTAAAAAAACAACAACAACAGAGATACATGAAGTGTGCTACAAATGAAACCTTTATTTTCCTTATTTTTAGTCGTGACGTGTTCAAGCAGGGCCAGTTCAAGGTACCGGCAACTTGGGCAGTTGCCCGGGGAGCCATGAAAGAAAACAGAAAGTGCAATAAAAATATTTTATGATCTAAAGGCTAGAAAAAAAATGGCACCAGCAGGCTAATTGTTCATACAGTCCAAATACAAGTTAATAAAAACAATTTTACTGTTCATTCTTTGTTTTAAAAAAAAAAAAACAACCTAGATAATAAACTCATTAACTAATCCCCAGTTTTTTCCTGGCACAAATTTTTATGATTATACATAAAAGCGACGCCAACGTTAAGCTTGATCGGGACACCAGCAACCGTGGGGCCGACCCTGTGTGCAATCAATGTATTCGGGTTATCAGCCTTTGTGTGGTGCACTACTGCACTACACCTAGCCGACATTAGCTGGTTTGAAACATATTCAGAGAAAAAAAAAAAAAAAAACCTCCAGGAATCCAACGTTGGTGCATCACTCGTCCTTCATTTGATGAGGCAAGCCTTGGGCAATACAGTTTTTTATGTAATAACCTTCCCACCGTTTTGCCACTTTTTGAAAAATTTAGTTCAACTGGACATCAGGAAAGTTAAAGTTAAAGTGAAAAAAAATATGCAGCAGCGTGTGTGCCTAGTTCCTTTTTTTCGGAACACTCCATAATTCAGGAATGAGATATAATGGAGTATTTATTGTCCCTTTCAAATTATTGTTTTTGAAAGTTTCAAGAAAATATGAAATATGATTTTCGTATCTTTTCATATATATGGAAGACAAAGTTAGAACAATGAATCTAATTATCGCGCCCAACACTTTGGCTGATTAACCGGGATGTGATTTACGACGGTGAGGAAACACTTTATTTTGGGATCACTCAGCACACACTCTGATCTTTGCAACACAAGAACAAAAACACACATTCTTCTCACTGCATGGGTAGATATTTTTTAATCACCAACTAAGTTAACTTCTTCACTTCACCCCTTTCCGGACTCACCACCACCAGATGAAGACTCCTTTGTATCGATTGAAATCAGACATTCTCAAACTTTTGCATTCGACTACATTTGAAATGTACCAATTAACAAATTAACGGTTTTAAACAATTAAGTGAAGATAAAAAAACGGATAAAAAATTGACTTTAAACGTTTTCAGCTCGTGTTAACGCATTAGATTTAGAACCGCTGAGTCTCAGATACATTTTCAGATATCAGGAATAGGATGTTAAAAAAGTAAAGATCTTGAGAGAGCGAATTCACGAAAGTCTCAGAATCCTTCCAACCGTTGGTATTTATTAGCTCACCCAGCCCATTACTGTTAAATCGACATAACGTTACCAGAGCCCGTGCATTCGTTCGACAAGACTCGACAGGTCAAACAAGAGTCAAGAGCCTCAGTGAAGTCGAAATATTATTGGTGTTTAAGAGTCATGGCCAACATCTCTAGAAATTTGTCTGAGAAAAGTGACGTCAGGACGGCCACTGGAGTCAATGAAATGACCTTCTTTTGGTGTAAGCATTTTTAGATAATAACACCCTTTACCGTAAATTTGAAATAACGTATGTTGGAATATTCAACTGTTACAAATTAGTTATAAAATGCAGGCATGGTACTTAAAAAATTACAATATGTTTTTTTGGCGAATATTTTAAAAAATCTTTTTAATATGAATCTTCCCATTATCATTAAATTTATTTTGCACCAAATTATAGCAATGTCCTTGTAAATAAAACACGCGAACTCGAGTGTTATTCGCTATCGCCAGGTGCAGAACTCAACCCAAGCACACGCACTGTGGCGTGGGTCGTGAAGCCAGAGGACCTTGATGAGGGAGATTCTTCTGAACATTCACTATGCGTTACACAGGTTGGTCTTTGGGAATCTGATCATTTTAAGTTCGGAATTAAATGAATTTTTGAGCGTTTGACACTAGCTTATTTAAGTTGGTAAGTTTGGGTGGTGTATTTGGTGTGGTGTAATTAGTGCGGAATAATTAGTATTGTATAAATTTGGTTTATTTTCACCACTTTTTGTGGTTGTTTTAAACTGTCGGCAATGCTGTGACATGTTTTAAAATGATGGTATACATATTCTGAATTAAGATATTGACATCTATTTCGTTAGCTCAAGTTTTACTTGTAACTGAAACAAATCATGTAAAAATACACTTAATATTTATACCGTAATATGCATGAAGACCCATCTTACATATCTCTTTCAAATGGACATATGCAATGAGCAGGCGGTTCTTGGCCCCGATGCCGTCTCTGAAGAACAAAACATCATCGCTATGGAATCCGTGAATGCAAATGGCGAGCTGAAGAAAGGCGTTGTAGCAAATCTCATCAAGGGATCATCAGTCATGGTAAAATGTCTTCATTATGCTGTGGTGTAAAACTGTAGTACCATTGAATCTAGCCACACTTGTATCAGAAAATAAGCAGTTGTGAAAGGATGGGGTTGTCAAGTATACACAGCTTCGGGAAGGCCCTGTAATATTGTTATTTTCCGGCTATCCATAGAACGTGTGGCTTATCTTTCTACTATGCACGGGATGCCTAAATCGACGGTTGGTACGATTTTGAAAAATAAAGAAGCTATCCAAGCAGCTGATGTGGCGAATGGGATTACAACACCGACCTCTAGAAGATCGAAAATAATGAAGTATATGAAAATAACATTCTTTGTTTGGATTAATGTAGCGCAGCTGGCTGGTGATGTTATTTCTGCGACGATAATTGGTGGGAATTCCAATGTACTCCACGATGATTTAATGAAAAGTCTGATACGAGTGCTCAATGAAGGAGTTTAAAGCGAGTAGAGATTGGTTCAATAAAGTTATTTAAGACAATGTATGGGATCTATATTTGTGTGATCTATAGAGTTTGTGGGATCTTTAGAGTTTGTGGGATCTATAGAGTTTGTGGGATCCATAGAGTTTGTGGATCATAGAGTTTGTGGGATCTATAGAGTTTGTGGATCATAGAGTTTGTGGGATCTATAGCGATTGTGGGATTTATAGAGATTGTGGGATCTATAGAGTGTGTGAGACCTATAGAGTTTGTCAGATCTATAGAGTTTGTGAGATCTATAGAGTTTGTGGGAACTAGGAACAGATTAATCCAGATTCTATTATGTTCAAAGGGGGAAATGTCTTGGAATTCTAACAATTTGGAACTCCAACAATTTGAAACTCCAACAATTTGAAACTCCAACAATTTGAAACTCACACGGGCCCTGAAACGAAAAGAGTTCGGATTCCGAGCCCCGCTGCATGTCAATATAACTTTTTTAAAGTGGAACATTAGGGTATGTACTGTAAAAACCGATACACGTTTTAATACCGGAATCCTAATATCGATATTCGATTTTCCGAAATACCGATATCATCCTTAGTTTTTATAATGCATTTCCAGTTGTTTCATACAGAATGGTCAGATGTATAAGCATCTTAAAAACGATAGCGGCAATGGAAATCTATATTTAGAGGTCACAAATCATCTCTCACCCGTTGCATGTTGAAACCACAATTTGGCAATGTCTAGTGACACTTGATTGTTG